CAGTAAATTTTCAACATATTTTCACTTTTATGAATGACTGTAGATGGGGTTTGGATTCATGATTGCATTTATTGAACTCTTATACACACATCTCATAACTACAAGTAACTCTAGTGCTATCACTAATTCACACACACACTGCAGTTCACTACAGCACACACTTAAGTTTTTTCAGTATGTTTTGTCTTCACTGGTTGTTGCCTGGTAATGGCTTAAAATGCCGTAGCTTTCTCAGCTTCCTTGTGCACGTCCTTACTACCCAGAGACTGTCTTTCAACTAATTAAACCCTAGACTTGTCCTGCTTATAATACTTTGGCAGGGACTGCACAGGAAACACCTCTCCCAAAATTTCTGTTGTTGCGCGCACAGCCTTCAGCGTGGACCATGCAAAAAAGATCTTTCCTGTTGCTGTTTATTGGCCGTTGCCTAGTAACGGCCGCTGTCTAGTTTGTTTCTCGGTCATTGCCTAGGAACAGGTTTACATGACACTCCTCCATCCTTAAGGCTATTTGTCTCGAATAGCCTACAGTCCCGCCATTTCTACATTTCTGAGGGCTGTGCTCGTGACATCTGTGATCGGCCTCGTCTTTCTTCCCCATGACTCGGGTTTTACGGTGAGTACTCGCCAACTGCTCCCGTCACTGCTTGATTAAGGCTGCTCGTCTTGAGCGGTTCCCTGATAAGGTGCCAGCCGGTCAAGATGTACCACCATCCTCAATCTAGGGTTCAGCTGGATCCTGTATACCACATCATTTATCCGGGTATATCCTTGTATGGGCCCCCTGTGAGGATTAAAGCTTGGGCGATAGGGCTACGCTTTGTCACACTCATGGTAGCCCGCGCTGGTGACCAGTCGTAACGCGTTTTTGTTCTGTCACTCCCCAGCTTCAGGTGTTGGCAGACATAATTGTGAATATTGTGTAGATGGTCCTCTAAATATGCCGCATGATTGATTATGGGTTTTTACTTAATGGGGGCTGGCCTAAACTGCAGGTGGCATGGCAATCGAAATTATATTCGAAACACTAGGCAAGCCGGGCTAAAACCCGTAGTACCGTGAGTAGATTCCCCGTAAGTAATCTTGCATTCCAATCCGTCTGGTGTGATGCGACGAATTTTCGCAGGTGCTAGTTATCAGTCGAGCCTCAAAGTTATGGCCCTTGTCTCTATGTAGCTAAGCGGCAGAAGAATTTGGTAACTAGCGCTTCCACCACTGTCGAAGCTTCTTGATTAGGAATAACATAGGCTTCTGAGCCCTTGGTAAAATAGTCCATAGCGTTCAGTAGGTATATTTTTCCTTGGTCTCTTCATGGGAAGGGCCCTCCTACATCGATGGCAATCCTTTCGAATGGTGTTCTGGCATTATACTGATACATTTGGCCCCGGTTACTGGTTCGGGGGCCATGACTGGCTGCACAGGTGTCGCACTGCCGGCTCCACTTTTCGGTGTATGTTTCCTTAGGGCCCTGCTACAGTGATGGCAATCCTTTCGAATGGTGCCCAGGCGTTATACCGATGCATTTGGCCCCGGTTACTGGTTTGGGGGCCGCGACTGGCTGCACAGGTGTTGCACTGCCAGCACCACTTCTTAGTGTATGTTTCCTTAGGGCCCTGCTACAGGGATGGTAATCCTTTCGAACGGTGCCCAGGCGTTATACTGATGCATTTGGCCCCGGTTACTGGTTCGGGGGCCGCGACTGGCTGCACAGGTGTCACACTGCCGACTCCGCTTCTCAACATCGTTCCTTGTCTGGAGCCTATAGTACATTTGCCTGACTGTATTTAGGGTCTTGTTGACACCAGGTGACCTGATGGCCCACCATGTAGGTTTGTCAGAACGTCGTTCACTCTGCTCTGAGGGAGAACTATCTTGACTATTTTTTATCGTCCTTCGGTGGATTCCCAGTGGCGCTCTAGTATGCAGTTCCTTATAACGAGAGATTTCTATTGGGCCCAGAAGCTTTTGTACCTGGGCACTGTCCTGTCTGTACGTCCAGAATGGACCCTATGTCCTGGTTGTTCGTTTGTTTCCTTCTCTGAGCGGCTAGATCCCAACCGGCTGCGGCAATAGCCGCAAAGGCCAGTATCTGCATGATGTCCTCAGGATTGCAAGTAGTTCCTGCTGGGAGACGCAGTAATTTCTCTCGGCCTTGTTAAGTGCCTTACTGTAGTAAGCTATTACTCGCTCCTGTCCGTTCTGTATGTGGGACATTACACCTCCAATCCCGATGGCACGGCTATCAACGACAAACCTGTCTCTTGGCTGCTGGTAAGCAATAATAGAGACATGCAGAGGGCCTCCTTCAGTGTTGGAAGGTTGCCTCCACTTCTGGAGTCAACTGGAAGGCCGATTTCTTGTCCATAAGTTTGGTTAGCTGTTTCTCATTGTTGGTGTATCTAGAAATAACCATCTGTAGTGTATGCATAGGCCCAGCAAGCTTCTAATTTCATGTTTGTTGTTCGGGGTCAGCAATTCCTGTACGGTTCTCAGCTTCTTGGGTTCGGTGGTTATCCCCTCAGGTGAAACAGTATGCCCAATGCACCGTATTTCCTTTTTTTCTGGGATGAGCTTCAGGTGGGCCTCACATAATCGGAACAAATTTCATAGGATGTGCAGGTGCTCTTGAAACGTGCGGCCAGTCATAATCACATCGTTCAGATACACAAGACATGACTCATGAGACTTCATAAAGTGGTCTCCATTAACCGCTCAAACGTCGCTGGAGCTTTAAAGAGGCCAGAGGGCATTACCGTGAACTCCCATAACACTTGACTGTTGAGAATACAGCCTTTTTGCTGTCTGGGCGCAGGTCCACATGCCAATAACTGCTTTTGAAGTCCAGAGTGGAGAACCATTTGGCTTCAGCCATCGTGTCCCGAATATCGTCTATCCCGGCCAGCGGGAAACAGTCTTCGTGATATCGTTCAATTCCCGTAATCTATGCAGAAGCGCAGGTCCCCGTCCTTCCGGACGAGGACGACGGGGGGTGACCTGCGGCTGTCTGACTCTTAAATAACTGTATGTCTTAGCATGTCCTGAATCATCTCACCGACATCTGCCTGTTTTACTAAGGGAAACCTGGAGATTGCGGCCCTCTCCAATATCTATATGGTGGTACACTGTCAGTCCGTCCATAGTCATCGTTTTTCATAGCAAAGATGTCTCCGTACTCGGTGAGCTGTTCTAAATCTTGGGATTCAGCGTCACCAAGGATTACCCTGGCTGTTGCAATCCAGTCCTGCAACTTCAGGTAGTCTCTTGAACCTGTGGTTGTTCAATATCGGGTGGGGTTACCAGTGTGACTAGCGACAGTATGCCCTGGGGGTCCTTTTATGAGCTTCTGTTCGCTACATGTAGCATTCAGGATCCTCAGTGGTACCTTTCGGCGGTCTCAGACCAGGGTCCTGGCTATGTTGAGTCCTTCAGTATCGCGGGTCTTCGGAATCGGTTCTGTAAAGCCATTACCCACTTCGAGGGTGCTCTCCAATTGAGCCATCACCACTCCGTTGCATTTTGCAGGTATCACCCCATCATTGGCCACAAACAGGCTAGAAGGCATGGGCCCAATGGCGATACCTCTTCCTCTGCAAGACATAGCATTTGGCACCCTAGGTTCTTGGATGCTTCATATGCGCCCAGGATGTCAAGCCCCAAGGTGAACTCCTATGTGATATTGCTGACAAGTACCCACATTTTCAGAGGGCGCCGCCCCAAGTTCGGTGAAGAAAACTTCCTTCAGGATGGGGGAGATTCGCCAGATACAGTCTGTAGCGTGTGGCGTTCATTCAGCTGTGTTTTGTGCCATGAAGCGGCGATGTCGGGCCTGGAGACAGTCAAGAGACATGATTTGTCACCGACCCAGCCTTGTGACTAGCCTAGGGTTGGCCCTTTCCTTGATGCCAGTCAGCGCTTGGTGGGGGGGTCTTATTGTTTATGTTGCTGTACCCACCTTTTCCGCCGGCACTCGCTCTTTACCCGCCAACTGGCCACCCCTCCTGTCCACCTCTTTGTTTTTCCTCAGGTTCCATTCCGATCTTGCCGGTTCCATTGTGTGACTCTGAAATCTTTCGTTCCTTTTTCCATGCTGTTTGTCATTTTTTGCCTACCTGCCATAGGGGCAGTTACCCTGGAAATGGCCTGGCTCCCCTGAATTTTCCAGTTCTTGCTGTTTGAAATGATCACGTCTTCCAGTGGAAAACTAAAAAGCAGTGAGAATATGACATTGTCATTATTCTGTGAACTGAAGATGCATCCGATCAGTATGTACTTGCACATTTTCTCACAAACAAACAAACAAACTCCGTGGCCTGTAGTCCGCAAGCGAACCATACTTACCAAGCAACTGCCGCTTGTTGGCGAAGTTAGTGCCAACTTTGTGGATAGAGGATGCCGTGTGGTCAGTGCAACGGATCCACATGGCCATTAATGTCGGTTTTCTAGACATTGTCTCACAAACATATTTTAATTGATCTCTCTATTGGGCATACCAAATTCATTTAAAATATACTGAACTTTTGTCATATCTGAATCATAGATTATCATGTGAATTTCAAGTAATTAATGTAATTATCCATATAATCCCATTTTTCCCTATAATTTGCATATGCCAAAGATAGCATTAGTTGACCTGTTATGACAGAATCTCCATCAGGGGTCATCAGAAATCTCAGTAATGAATGGTTTTAAATGTACCAGAAGGAAACGGGGTTTCGTAAATGTAAGAGTTCTTGGAAATTACTGGTCAGTTCTGTTTTCTGTTAATAATAAATAACTGCAAGAATAATTTCTTTGCATTGCTTTCGTAAAGCTTCATATTGTTATGAAATCACCCAGGTGATATCTGAAGGACACTCCTTTAAGATGGGGTAATGAAAGAACTTTCGTCTTAAGTCAGGTTTGCACTAAGACATTGAAGATTAATTCACATAGTATAATTTTACACTTTGCTTTAATTTAAATGTTACTACCAGCTACAGTATCCTTTTCTTTTCCTTTTAGGTGTTCATCTACTCAAACCAGCAGATCTGTTTAAGGATCAGACCTTCTTTCTAAGTCAAGTTTCTCAAATGCCGCTACAGAAGACAATGTTTCCTCTTGGGAACGTGACAAAAAGCCAAGTTAAAAGAATAGCTAGTGAATCTGGAATGGAGTATATTGTCAAGAAGAAGGAAAGCACAGGCATCTGTTTTATTGGCTCAAGAAATTTTAAAAAATTTATATCAGAGGTATGTACTATATGTAAAAAAAACTGCTGTAGCAAAGAATACATTGTTAAGTAAAAGGGTCACAACACCATGAATATAGTGCAGCTAGTGAAGAATATTGTAACGTGTTTCGTTACTGAGTACGCCATAGAGATGGTTAATTGGTTTATTTAACAATCTACAAGTAACGGCTACAATTAATTATAACACAGTTGCGGGTTTCCACACTTTACAAACCCTACAACCAAAGTCTTCACGTTTACAGTAGGGGAGCTATACAAATCTCCCTGAATTACACACTCCAAATATAACTGTACTACAGCACTCACTAAGTCTCGAAAGCACACAATAAGTCTTCCGCTCGCTGAATTCTTAGTTATCGCACATTTGCAGGCTGCTACCTTGAGAACTGTTGATAACATACTGACACTCGCTTGCTGCTCAGCTGGCTTTTATTCCGTTCGCTGTTGCTAGGGTCGCCTGTCACGTCACAGTAGGAAGCGGTGCCACGTCACCGTGTTTGCGTATAGCCTAGCAACACTGTTACCTCGCGCCGTCTTACGTCACCGCGGAGGGGGGGAGGGAGAGCTACGTTACCGCCACGTGCCGCTGGGGAGGTAGGGGTCCTCCATTGCACAACATGTCACACTGCTCCCTCCTTAAGGCTGTTCATCCCGAATAGCCTAACGGTGCATCCCTGTTCCTTTGCTTTGGAGGCTGTTCTTGCAGCATCTGTTCTCTGGCCGTTACAACCGCTCCCTTCTTAAGACCAACTCGTCTCGAGCGGTTTCCTTTCAGCTCGCCAGAAGATCCGGTTGTATTCCATTCATCCATCACTTTCATTCTTCCTTGGGAGGCCGGTACTTCTACACTACCGGTTCCTCCTCTGCTTGAAGTCTTTCCATTTTGGAGGGGGTCATCCCCTCCGCAAGGTCCAATCCTTGATCATTTCCTTCTTCAGAGGTTCCTTATGCCGACGTAACAGCTCTTGATGTGTTGTTTGCACTCGCTGACGTCGATGTTCCTTCTGGACTTCCCGCCACTTGCTGGCACGGGACCATGGCGCCAAGTCCTTTCTCCGGCATCCGAAGGTTCCCTGAGGAGTTTCCTTCTTGAAGTCATTTCTCCAACGTCGTGCCACTGTCGCGCGATGGGATATCTTCCTGCAGATGACAGCCAACTTCATCCGGGACGCATGATCTCCTCGGGTCCAAGATTTCCTGAAGATGTTTCTCCGGTGCCATGACACTCTTGCATAGCGGGACACCTTCCTGCTGGTTTTCTTCTGCCGAGTCACTTCCACATGGAGGCTTGTCCCTCTGCGGGCTACGGCCAACTTCTTCTGGGGCCCAGAACTTTCCCGTGTCGGATTCTTCATAATTCGTCACTTTCGGTTCCTACGCCTTTTCTTCTTCGGTTCTCCGACCGGCATTACTTCGGTGCCTTCTGCAGGTACCTTTCGTAGTTCTGCCACCTCAGGTTTCATGTGCACTGAGTCCGGCTTGTCATCTGGACGTGCCTCCAATTCTCGGCAGGCCATCGTCACTCCGACCGGTATCACTATGGGGACCTCCTCTTGTTGTGCCGCCGCAGGTTTCGTGTCCCCTGGGCAGGCCACCGTCTCCTTTTGAGTAATCGACATCAATTCATCTTCAGGTTCACTGACTGGTATCACTGCGACGTAGTCTACAGGGACCTCTTCTTGTTCTGCCATCCTTGTTCTGATTGCTTCAATTTTATGTTGGAGTGTCTCATCCAACTCTGACGGCATAGATCGCATTTTGGCCTTGAGTTCTTCCTTGTTGGTTTCGATTTTCTCTCGCAGATTTTCTTGGCCCACTCTCCTCTCCTCTCGGTTGGCCTCCATAATGGCCAGTAACTCATTATGGCCGGTTTTCATTTTGGCCTCCGTCTTTTCTTGGTAGGATTTCATGTTGGTGCCCATCCGTGCCAGCATTTCTTCTTTGTCAGTTTTTCTATCAGCCATCACCTTTTCTTGGTAGGCATCTAGTTTGGCCATTAAAACTTCATTATCTTTCCTCCTACTTTCCTCCATCTCTTCCCTCTCTTTCCTCCTCTCTTCCTTCTCTTTCCTCCTCTCTTCCTCCCTATCGGCTTTTTGTCTGGCCGCCATTTGCTCCTGGGCGAACAACAGACGTTCCATCACTTTTTCCATGTCCATGTTGTAGCAGTAAACCACTCGATGCACAATAATTCAATTATTTGTCACGTGTGTAAGTTCGTAACCACTTCTGACACTAGTGTAACGTGTTTTGTTACTGAATACGCCATAGAGATGGTTAATTGGTTTATTTAACAATCTACAAATAACCCAAGTGCCAGTGATTTTCTTGTACTTCTGTTGTGATAGTAGCTCTAGCATTATTTATTTATTATGTAGCATGCTTTCTCAATGAGATATGATGCTTACACACATTTCACTTCAAATTTACCTAATATATCATTTTTATGAGATTCAGTAACAGAAACTACATCACAGAAAGAAATATTCTCATAATATAAAACCAAAAGTAAAGAAACGTAGATGAAACCTTAGCCGAATTTAGTAAACAGCAATCCAGTATAAAATTCACCATCTAAAGAGAACATCATAACTCCATTGATTTCCTGGATCTAACAGTACCACATAAGAAAACAGAAATAATTTGCAGTATGTAGAAAACATAGCGAATTACTCCTGCCATCCATATGAACATGACATATGAAGTATTCACTATCTAATGAATAGAGTGTGCACATACCTAGTAACAAAAAAAAAAAGCAAAGGAAAAGGAACTAAACATCATAAAAGACACACTACATAACAATAAATATAATATAAACCTAGGCAGGAGACACTCCAACGAACATAAACATAACAAAAACACCGATCCACAACATCAGAAACCAAATGGGCCACTTTGACATACAGCTGTAAAGCAACAAAGAAAATTACAAAACTCTTTTAACACGTAAAAGTAGCATTCCAAACACGAAACATGATACAAAACCTAGTAAAATAATATTCACAAATAGGCAGATATATAAAAAGTGGTATTTACCAGATAAAATGCATCAATTTCCTGCAAAAATATGTAGGGCAGACGGGCCGAACATTTAGCACCAGATATAAAGTATATATGCTGTTCACAGTAGCTGAATGGTCAGTCATGCACTGTCTTCGCTACCTTGGAAGCTGGGATCGTGGGTTCAAATCCCACTCAGTGCATAAATGTTCAGTGTTTGTGTGTGCTTTTTTCTGTGTTTGTGTACAGGTAGCGGCCTTGCGACGAGCTGACCACCCGCCCAAGGAGTCCTACTGAATATCTAAGATCTAATAAACCGAAGTGAAATGGATAGTTTCATGGAGGTAGGCCAAGGCCCAAATTGGGGCTGTAACGCCAAAGGAAAAAAGGTAAACAATATATACAGGCAGTTAGGAATAAGAATGGTAATGCAGGATGTTTGAACCACATACTGACAATAGGACCCACATATGGGAATAGAGCCGACATAATGAACATCACAAAAACAGAAAGAAAGAAAGAAAGAAAGAACCCAAATACAAAGTGTGACAATTTAATTCCCGGAATGGCCGCAGCATGTCCTGGGGTGTTGAGTCAGAAAAACTCGTGTACCCAAACACGTTTGGATGTGTTCCAACTTGCGTTTACATAAGCCACAGACCAACTGAGTCGTACCTTCCCACCCAGCAAAGCAAATAGTACGTGTCTATGGTTTACTGTTGGGAGAAGAATGAGTGACAAGAATCTGGAGCAGCAGATAAATATCAAGTTTTGTGTGAAGATTTGTAAAAGTGCTAGTGAAATGTTAGCTGTATTAACAGTGGCTTATGGTGAATTCACTATGAAGAAATCACACGTTTTTTAATGGCATAGGCAGTTGACTGAAGGGCGAGAAGGTGTGCAAGATGACCTAAGAAGTGAGCAGCAAAAGCACAAAGGACAGATGCAAACGTGGGCAGAGTGCAAACCTTGGTGCACTCAGATCGAAGATTAGGTGTGAGATTAATAGCCAAAGAATTTAACCTTTATGGGATGGGCCATTTAAATTCCGGTACTGGCAGCGGGACAGAGTTAATTTAAATGCCCACCATTATAGAGTAATAAAAATAGTAATCATGTTACTCAAAATGCTGTGATTTCTACAATTTTTATGATGAACGAAATAAACGCTACTTTTATCTAGAAAGTATATAGGATCAGATACTGTAATTTACAGATTTTAGAATCTGTAAAAATTGTTACATTGATCCCAAAAAGAATTTTTCCCCAATTTTGAGCGTCTGTCTACAAAAATGCGTAAAGCTTCTGCACAAAACCTTCCTGCAGTATAAATGCATGCTGCTGACTCACGGTCTGGCTATGTGTTATCTGGAGGAGAGAGAATGTTTGTTTTCACTGCACATTCTCCAGTCAGTGGGCTTCTTGTATACACAGTGTGGGCCAGTTCTTATCCTACATTGCCTTATGAAACTCTGTTTAGTCATGTATGTCGGACTATCCACACAGAGGCAGTTCTTGGAATATCACCTCATACCACTTGCTTCCACTCCCTTCAGAATAAACTTTAAGGCCTTCTGAATGGTGTGATTTATGAGAGGCCTCTCAATTTCGACTTCTTCAATGCGAAATGGGGCCATGGTGCATAGTTGAAATTGCGATGTTTTATAAGCGTTATGAATAGAGGATACCACTTGCCATCACTGGCTTGCTTCCTGCTAATATGAGACTAACATTGCGTGTGCGTGCTTCGCGTGGAAAACAGAGTTAATTATGGACAAAGTGCATGAATTGCGACGTCGGACTCTGCATTCAGTGACATGCAACATTCAGTTAGATGATGCAGGAGGGAAGACAGTCTACTTATAAAGCTAGTGTCCAAAAATAATGAAAGTAGAACAAGAATTTCTATCTTAAAATTAGATTTTAAAACACTGTGCGCACGCGTGGACTGCGCATATCCATATGGTGTCTTTCGGCCACTCAGCTTTACTTTAA